GCGGCCCTGACCGGAAAACCCCTCAGGCGTTTGATTTTCCACCGTCGAAGCTGCCGTCTTCGCCATAGAGCCGTCCTTGTTGATTTCATTTGACCCCATTTTCGAGTTTGACGGACCCGTATTAGGGTTGCCGCTGTTTGTAAATGAGGAACGGTTTGGGCCATTAGGAAACGACTGGCCCATTTGATTATTACTCCAGCTTCTATTTTCGTTTGGGCCAGAACCCGTACGTGAGCCCACGTTCCGATTTGTACCTTGAGCCCAGCCCTTGGCCAACGGTCCCCAGCCTTCGTCTCTCCAAGCCGAGTTTCTCTTCTCAATCTTGAGAGAAAACTTAATCGTCTCTGTAAGGCTCAGGTGGGGGTACATCAGAAGTTCCTCCCTGATGCTGGTGCGCACCCCATTCAGCCAAGCCCCTCTCAATAAGTCCTCGTCCTCAAAACGGAGAGCCACCATCATCTTCTCGAAATCATCCCGAAACTCCGCCACGCTACCGGTTTGCTTCATCGTGTAAAGAGCTCCAAACGGATTGTCCAAAGCTTCTGGTTGGAATCGGCTGAGAACTTCTCGTCGGAAAAAACCCCACGTTGCGTTTGGATTACTTACTTCCCACCACTGACACCAATGGAGGGCCTCTCCCTCCAGAAAACCAACACCACAGCCAACTTCTCATGCTCGTTGACGTTGTTCACCACAAAATATCTTTCCACCTTACACAACCATCCTAGAGCGTCGTCACCAGTAAAAATAGGAATCTCCAGACGACGTGTTAATGGCACCGTCGAAATGCCCCTCCGCGGATGACGTTCTCCTCTGGTTTGGGTTTCGTCATCTTCCATTTCGTTCTCACCGTCTCTGGAACTATTTTGCCTATTTCTGGACATTTCATCCAACCGTTGGATTATCTCCGTCATTCCTCTCTCATTGTTGCTCAGCCTTTGGAGGATCTCCTCATGGCGAGCTTCACTCGCATCAAGTCTGATGCAAACCTCCTCCTGCCGAGCACAACCTCTGCGCAGCCCTTCTTCTATAGTTTCCATTCGATGCTCCATTAGTCTAGTACTGACCATTCCACAGAGCTCCTAGATCGGAGCTCTGATACCAATTGATAAGGACCAACTCAGATAATGAATTAACAGTAATTAATTAAGGAAATAAACTGAATATTTCTCATTTATATGAAGCTCAACAGCCATTACACAGAACTTCCATTACAATGAGGAAATAACCTTGAAAGAAATACAGAGTTCTAAAGGAAAATACAATGCAAAAGAAAAGATAGTGTGGAACACATATGAGAGGTTCCACTCTCTCCCAATCCCAAAAAGGGCCCAAGTTCAACTAATTTTCCCGGATGCCTCCACCCTGCCTGCGTTCCCCTTCTTAAGCAATTGCGTAACTAACTCAGCCACTCCTCATTTGCATTCTGTTGGAGGGTATTGTTGTCCTTGCTGCTCATTGCTCTGTCAGCATTCCCAGGTGGGCCAGCAACCATATTTGCGCCTGTTGCTGTAAGGATTGGACCAGCATTCACACTTGAGTCTGTTGTTGCAAGATGAGCCCAATTCTTCCTATGTTTATCCCTACGGTAGACATGTTGCAATGGGGTTGTATCAGATTCCAAGCCTTGGTTCATTGTTTTTTAGTTCTTGCCAAATTGTAATACTCTATCAACTATAACAAATATTTTTACCATCAAAAGACAGATATAAGTTGTACGTAGCGGAAATTGACAAGTGCACTCATAAACTTCAAATTAGGATCTAATAAATACTTCTGAACACCCATAATCTGGAGATTAAAAGTGTTAGCCTTATACCTATAGTGAACCAAAGATCACTAATGTAATGGACTTAATGGTTCCTCACATGTAATGCTCTCTTGAAGAAACACCTCTTTTATGGTGTTTCATATGTTCTGAAAATTTATATTGCTAATTTACCATTTTTTTTCTTGCCAGTCTTAATGTAAAGCTCCTTTTCTATTCAGTACTTAGAACTATGTTGTGTATCTAATGTTTCTAATTTAGCAAAACTTAATTAGTTATGATCTCATGTACCAAAAAAAAAAAAAAAGTTATGTTCTTAAATATGTAGAGTTCTTACTTGGATTTTATTTTTTATTTTTTTTCTGAATTGTGAGCTGGTTAGAATGCCAATGATGTTTAAGTTTGTTTTTATTGTAAAAAAATACCAATTAATATTTTTATCTGTATATATTTGTTTCCATGGTTCAGCATATCATTGTTTTAGGTCATCGACTCGTGGACTGCCCGTTGGTCCTAATCCAATTTTCAAAGTATCCTCCCAACTTGCTGTTCCCCAAAGAAGATGGGCATCTCAAGCCACAGCTACAGAGGAAGACAACAAGATTAGCATTGGACCTCGAAGTGGAGGACAATTTGGGGAAGGTGACAAGGAAAGTGGAGTTGTTTATCACGGTCCCATCTCAGCTACCATAAAGAAAGTAAAACTTCTGTCTCTCTCGACTTGCTGCCTCTCAGTGTCTCTAGGTCCTGTCATAACCTTCATGACATCCCCTGATATGAATGTCATCCTGAAGGGTGCAGTGGCATCATCTGTGATATTCTTTAGTGCTACTACAACTGCTGCCCTTCACTGGTTCGTTAGCCCGTACATTCACAAACTCCGGTGGCAGCCGGGTTCGGACACCTTTGAGGTGGAGATGATGTCCTGGCTGGCAACTCCTATTCCAAAGACTATTAAGTTTGCTGATATTCGACCAGCAGAAACCAATAGGCCTTTTGTGACATTTAAGGCTAATGGGAATTTTTACTTTGTGGACGCAGAACACTGTCACAATAAGGCACTTCTGGCTAGACTCACACCACAGAAAGTAACTCATGAATCAGCTTTCAAAAACTTGTGATTTGAAACATACTCTGGCATGAGCTCTCTTGTTTTTTACTGCTAGGATGGGGAGAGTAAGCTGGAACCTTGTCTCAATTTCAGCCTGTGGTTGAAATTTTACTCTTGAGATTTAATCTGTTTTGTTGTGATAACATAAACTATTTTGGTTTTATTAATAAAGTCTTTATTGGGAGTATTTGATGCAAATTCGGGATTTTATTAAGTCTTTGTCAAAATTACTATTGATGTTGCAGTATTCATTAATTGTTCTTTTGGTGTCTTTACCTATTGGTTTTATATAATATTATTTTATACTATAATATTTTTAGTTATGATTTTAGTTATGACAGTTGATCTCACTTATATTTAATAGTTTTAAATTATTAATTATTTGAGTTATTGGATACAAGGAAATCGATGGTTAAAAAAAAATTAAAAAAATTAAGTATTCCACTTCTTATTCTTATCCCGTTGGAAGTTAGATCCTGTGTTTATGTTATATTGGATGCTTATATTTTCATTTCATGGAGCACCTGTTGCCATGACTGTTATATGAAGTAATTAGACCCAGCCAGTCCCTGGCTCTTTCCGTTGGCTAATCAGGAAAAGTGCAGAAAGAATTATGGCAAAAAATACTAATAGCATGCGGCATATACCTATGGGATTGAGAGATTCACTATGAGTGTAATACGTACAACAGTCCAGATTTTAGTAAGCTAATATGCTTGTATAGATTTGATTTATGTCACACGTTTTAAATGACTCGTGCATGTATTTGGATGGACCGATATTTTAAATGGATATTTGGTTACGGATTTGAAATTATACTTAGGGATTTGCATTCATCATTTAACATGATAAGAAAAAAATTTCTACACACAATATTTTGTGAGGCTCGCATTTTTTGGAGCAAAAAAAAAAAAAAAACTACAGCACGCAAAACGAATCTCTATAACATAACAAAATCACTTTTCTTACAACATAACTCTTATAAAACCCTTATACTTATATATACGTTGCATTTTTTGAAGTCTGTAACTACAAACGATACTATCATATTATCTTAATTTTTTTTTATTTAGATAATTAATTATATCACTATAAAATTATGAGGCTTTGAAAATCTATTATACGATTATATATCTAAACATGCTTAAAAAAATTTATTGAAATGCTTTCATTAGTTTTATTTCATTTCAAATAAGTTTTTATAATCTAAAATTTTATGATCAGATGCCTGATCACGAAATATTGTAATAATTTAGTCTCAATAATACTTTAAGTCTTTAACTGAAATGATCCTACAATATTGATGTGATTGTGCCAATTTCGATTATTGAATGACGATTCTGATAAACTCGTTTCAATGCACAATTTATGACAAATATTCATATGCATTCGGCCAAATAAAGGGCATGTCAATCGAGTAAATAATTTTTACTCTATTAAACACTAGTACGAGACCTATGTATTCTACTTGAATCTTGGCTCAATTCTTGCCTATATTTGTACTCATTTTATTTATTTGTTTTAATATTTCAATATTAAGTTAAAAGAGAACTTGTTACTTAGTTATATATTTGATATCTAAACCTATTTTGTATTTATGCAAAATAATATAATAAAATTTATAATGTTATAGGTTACATTTTGTAATTAAGGTTTAATTATCAAAGTGTATTTTCAAATCTTTTTTATTCAAAATTATTTTTTTAAATAATTTATTTAGGATATTTTTTAATGAAAATAAAATCAAACATAAAACATTTAATTTAATTCAGTTAATTAAGTCAACTTCACTTACAATTCAATTTAATAAAAGTATAAAACAAATAAGTGACTATTTTTTATTTATTTTTTGAAGAAACAATACACCTATTTAAAACAATTAAACATTATTAAAGCTAAATTCATAAAAAAATTAATTAAATCAATAGCAATATATGTAAATTGTTTGAAGAATGTTTTAGTTAATACATGCAATATTTTGATTAATAAAATAAAAGGAGGAAAAAAACCAAAAAAAACAAAACAAAGCACCCATTTCAACTTTCACGTGAATACACTTAAATCAATTATGAAAAAAATTAACTTAGTAACTCAACTTTCAATATTGATACTTTACTCCAACTCCAAATCCAAAAATAAAAAATAATGCTCGTTTGGTCTAATGAATGAAACTGCATTTCTCTTCAACGTTTCCATTTTACACAATAATTTCTAAATATAAAAGTAAGGTGTCTCAAAGAGGACAAAAAGTAACATCGGGTTTCCTTCAACCTCGAGTCGAATCAAACAAATCATGAAAGCAAGAAGAAAGCATTGGTTCTTTCAAGAATCAATACCGGTCGCATCAACGATGCCATTTGGATGTTGCATTTTCTTCTTTCCTTCTTTGCCGGGAGACTGCAGCAGCATATATCACTGATAATGTCAGAAACACAATTTACAGGATTTAAATTTGAGAACACAATATCTTAAATTGTGTCTCCTCTACCTCCTTACCCTAGGGAATTTTACATGGCTCAGCATTATTGATAAATATCTGTTGAGAAGCACATATTCTGCAATCTAAATCATTACTCATCATATATTAAACCTAAAGTAGGATGAATGGTGAATTTTGTGAATCCATAATTTATTGTGATTTTGATAATGACAGAGCAGATGAGCAAGGCCAAGTCCAGGGACCATAGATTTATAGGACTTAGGCTTTCATAGCAAAAGCAATCTTAAAATACTGTCTTCTTGGTTGTGTGCTAGTATACTTGACGGAGAAGTGCCCATATTATCATTATCCATTTATTTAAATACATTAAAGCAAAGGTTTGCAAAAAGTTCTAAAAAAATTAGCAAATTCAATTCACGGCTTCCCCCGATCCTCTTAAAGTTTGAAGAACTTGTTAACAAATTTGTAATCATAGACAATCATCAATCTTCAGACTAATTGTAGTAGAAATGAGATATTCAGTCCAAACCCTGGTTCATACACCCAAATCATAAATAGCATGAATGCACCCAAACAGACAGAAATAGTAAGAAGCAAGTGATCAAGTCAATCATACCTTTATATTTGAAATCATTTGCCTGGAAGCAGCCTTGCTGATGATGCTTTTATAGTACTGTGTAAACGGAGTATTACCATTACGTTTTTCAACCTGCGAAATGAACCGGTTAACTAGTCTTAGAGCCTGTTTGGCATTTCATTTTTTTAAGCTAAAAACTACTTTTAAGCTAAAGTTAAAAAAAAAAAAAAGCTTTAAAAGTAAAGCTAAAAATTATTTGATGATTATATAAAATTTTTAGTTTAAAAAATTACTTAAAAGCTATTCATTTCAAAAAAGCTAATACAACTTAAAAAAACTCTTCCAAAGAACTTTTGGTTTTTTCTTCGTTATAAAAAAAAACTCTTTATTATAAGAGTTGTTGTAAAAACTTATTTGACCTAATTTTTGCTTATAAGGAGAAGAGAAACTAAAAAAGGACCTCTCAAACAGGCACTTTTTATTAGATACAACAATGACTGGAACCCTGATTCAAAGAGGAAAGATATTCTGAGAGGGAAAAAACCTGAACAAATGATTCAACAGACTGTTGATCCTTCGGTGAGAAAGGCACCTCATCTCTTTTCTTTTGCACAAAGTCAATATTCATCTCCACCTGAATTCCCCACCGCCAAAAGGAACAAGCCAAAATAAAGAGTTGGGTAAGGTGGTTGGTTATAATTCAATATCCGCTTTAAAAAAGGACAAAAGAAAAGGTTTTGGCAATATTAACTATTAAATGGTTAATTTAGATGAACTTGGAGTTAAACAAACTAAACAGTACACAGTAAATGCTGGATAGTTTAAAAATCCAGCAGGGGTAGGCCCCCAAGAAAATCACAGAACAGGTTGAACCACACACTGCACAGAAGTTACAGCGAAAATAGCCATTTTGCTATGTGGTTGTTGTAAGGTTATTACATGCCTTATGTAGTGTCAGATATTCATTTCAATGTCAAAACACAAGATGGCATTTATTCTACTCCGAAGAGAGACAGGAAAACAAAATGGCGTTCATTATAACTTGTACCTGATCAATAAATCGCTTGATAACACGTCTGGAACTCTCAATAGAAGTTCTCTCCAAAAACTTCTTGAGGTGGATAATTGGAGCTGTAGCCAGCTCGGGAAAAGATATATGGTAGCTCCATTGTGCAAAGTGCTCCGAAAGGAGTTCAATGGCAGATGAGACACACTCTTCTTGGAAGTCACGTGATTTTAACCAATACTTTGGAAGCTGCAAGAATTATTAAATGCCAATTACAAGTTTAATTCAAATAGGTACTGTGGATTAAGAGACCAACAGCTATTAGACAAATTAAAATTCTTAAACTAATCTTTAAAAAAAAAAAAAACTCTGCACTGTCATATTCATCTCTGACCTTTATGGTAGACAAAGATTCAACGACTTTGCCAGGTTTCCCATCAACCTTGGTAATTTTGTATTCTAAAACATCCAGCACCAATGATGTAACCGGGATGAAAACCCCACTAGAACCAGCAAGATGATTAAGCCATTGGATACATCTGAGTCTCAGTGGTAAATATCTGGGCCCAGGAAAAAGGAGAGCAACTCCATTTATAATCTGTACAATCATATACAGCAATGGCTGAAGATCATAGTCATGTATGTTTGCCGATATAAATGTAACCCAGAGATCGATGCAATTGATGTACTGCCAACTGCAAATTTTCTTAACTACCTCCTGCCGTAAATTAAAAAGCAAAATATCAGAAAACTTTCTTCAACATGGTAAGACTATGATTCTCTAGATACTTACACATGCTATCTAATTCTTTAAAAGACTGAGCATTTAACATATAACTTACACCAATAAAAAGTGGCACTGAATATTGAAAAAAGCTTACCTTCGTTTTTGTTTGCCACCCCTTCTGCAATATCTTACCTAGATGCCGTATACATATCATAGCTTTGTTAGATGACTTCTGTACATCTAAACAGCAAAGCTCCACAAAGGAATTCCTTAGAAAGTGTATATGTTCAAACAACCTTCGCTCAACAAATTGAGAGTGACTAATAAAGGCCTTATATGTTTTGACAAAGCAGAAGTCTAACCAATTAGAGCTAAACATGGAAGCTATATCTCGTATGATGACAAAGGAGTGTGACGATAGAGACCCATCACCTGTAGCCCAGAGATGAACAGAAATCTGCAATCAATTTGAGTGCAAGGTAAGGAGGATTTTACATGATATGAGATCCACATTATACATTTGATCTTAGTCAAAAGGCCAAGAAAAGTATATGAGATCTGACATTAAACACAAACTATAACTAAAGTATCAACAGAAACTGGTTATGTCTACCAAGTCATTAACCAATTTGTACGAAACTGATAGGAATTAAACAAATAACAACACAAATCCTGAATAATTCTTCTATATTAATTCCATTCCAGTAAAATCAACAAGGTTCAACAAGAAAAAAATCTGATTACAGCATGTTAGATGTGATTAGATATGATTAGTCTGATTAGATATGATTAGATATGATTAGTCTGTAATTATTCTGATTGTATTAGGTCTGGGCCTTTCCTATAAGCCCATTAGAGTCTCTATATATTGTAACTCTCTGAATTAAATCAATACACAACATATTATTTTATATTCACGTTGGTACCAGAGCTCTTTCGTTCTGGGGACCCTTGCTTCCGCTCAGAAACCTTGTTTTCGCCTTAAAACCTAAGCCCACTGCTTAGGAGTCATCTTTTCTTTGTCGTGCGTCCTTCCGGCAAGACATCAAGGACTGTAAGTCCCTTCCAAGCAATTTTCGAACGCGTCAGCACCTCCGACGGTCACCGGAACCACCGTCGCCACCGTTCAGGCCGCCAGAGCACTTTTCCGACAAGTTTTCAGCTCGATCAGAACGCGATCAGAACCCTCTTCCTCCGGCGACCAACTCTGCCGAAGGCCCATCACCGGCGGCCAAGCCACGCGCCCTCACGCGCGGCTGAGCTTCTCTACGCGTGGTCCTCACACGCCGCCTCTCACCGACGCGTGAGCACTGTTTCGGTGGACTTTTCCGGTGAAACCAGCACAGACAGACTCGCCCTTCTCTCACCTTTCCAGATCTGTGGTCCTTTTGTCGTGGGTCTCTTCCGTTGAGAAGATATCGGACAAAAGCATTTTATTCCATAGCACTGTTCCGTTAGTTTGGTCATTCTGATTATTTATTTTTTTGCGTGATTTCTTGTGAGTTTGCAGTTCTTTGCTTTTATCTGGTCATTCTTTTTATATTTTTGAGATGGAAGGCTTAGGTAGTACATCCAAAAACATTACCAGTACTACCCCCTCCATTACAACGATCAAACTGACCGGAGCTGCTACTTACAAGACCTGGTCTACCTCAGTTAAGATCTAGTTTACTGGTCAGGGATACGGTCAACATCTCATAACTAAGTTTCCCAAGAATCAGGCATCTGACTGGGAAAAGATTGATGCTTAACTCCTAGTATCCTTTGGCAGTCCATTGATCCGACACTTATAGACATTTTCATCTCCTTTGAGACCTGCAATGACGTATGGGAGGAAGCTAAAAACCTGTACACCAAAGACATTCAGCAGCTTTATTCCATTGTGTCTCAGATAATGGAATTGCGCAAATCTCTGGAGTCTCGAATTGAAACTTATATTGGTAAGATTCGTTCTTTGATGCAAGAATTCTTAGCTATGTTACCTCATGCTGCAGATGCCACTGCGTACAAGAAGCAGGTGGAGCGCTTCTTTATGGTCGTAACCCTCTCTGGTCTTTCCGAGAAGTTAGAAAGTGTTCGTGAAAATATTCTAACCAGTGCTGAGACTCCTAGCCTGTCACACACTTTCCAGCGCCTTCTGAATCTTAAGGATAAATCAACAGCTCCCACACGTGTGTCAGCTACCGATTCCACTGCATTCTTTTCTCGCTCCAATGATTCTTAGAACAATGGACACGGTCGCGGACGTGGCCGTGGACAGGGTGGTTGTGGACAAAGGCCTCGTTGCAATTATTGCCAGAATCTTGGACACTTTGAAGAACGCTGCTACAGGAAGTACCCTCACTTGAAACCACCGACTGCCAACTTTGCTCAGACTGATGTTACACCACCTTCCGCTGGATCAGTAACTCTTTCCAGTGCCGAATATGAGGCACTTCTCAAGAAGATTTCCTCTCAGCATCCCACTCAAGACACTGGTAATCATGTTGCTTGCCCTTCTCAATCATCTCTTGGACCCTGGATAATAGATTCAGGTGCTACTCATCACCTATGTGGTAATAAGGATCTTTTTACTTCACTTTCTTATTCTAATAATTTACCCTCTGTTACTCTTGCTGATGGCACTAAGGCTCCTGCTCGTGGAATTGGGGAAGCCAACCCAACTCCCTTTTTAGCCTTGACCTCTGTTTATTATATACCTGGCATTCCTATTAATTTAATCTCTGTTAGCCAGTTGATTCAGTCTCTTTCATGTACTGTTACCTTCTCTAAACAATCCTTCTCTATGCAAGATTCGGGTACGAGGAAGACGATTGGAGCGGGCATTGAGTCACTAGGTCTTTACTATCTGATTGCTCCACCTTCTCCAGTAGCATGTTCACTCACAGAGACTCCTGAGCTACTTCACAATCGTCTGGGTCATCCAAGCCTCTCCAAGCTTCAGCATATGGTTCCTTTTTTATCTAGTTTTAAGTCTTGTCAGCAAGGAAAACACACTCGCTCCTCCTTTGCTAATAGAGTCAATAAGAGAGTTGATGCTCCCTTTTCTATTGTTCATTCTGACATTTGGGGTCCGAGTCGAACAATGTCTGTTTTGGGTTTTCAGTATTTTGTCACCTTTATTGATGATTTCTCTCGTTGTACTTGGGTTTATTTAATGAAAAATCGTTCTGAATTATTTTCAATTTATCAAAAATTGTGCTGAAATAACTACTCAATTTGGTGCTTCTATTCAAATCATGCGCAGTGATAATGCAAGAGAATATGTGTCTTTTGAATTTTCTAATTTTTTGGAGAAACGTGGAACGATACACCAGACCACTTGCCCACACACTCCACAACAAAATGGAGTGGCTGAACGTAAAAATAGACATCTGGTTGAAACTACACGTACCCTACTAATTCACATGAATGTTCCACTCCGTTTTTGGGCAGATGCTATAATCACCTCTCGCTTTCTCATCAATCGCATGCCCTCTTCCGTACTTAATAATGAAGTGCCACATTGTGTTTTATTTCCAGGAACACCTTCCTATCCTCTACCTCCACATGTATTTGGATGTACGTGCTTTGTTCATGATCTTACTCCAGGTAAAGATAAGTTAACATCCAAAGCTTTCAAGTGTGTTTTCGTTGGATACACTCGTTTTCAAAAGGGGTATCGTTGCTATTCTCCTGATCTCAAGCGTTATATGGTTTCGGCTGATGTCACTTTCCTTGATCAACAACCTTTTCATTCTATCCCGTCTCAGATAGCACAAGTTGATCATGTTCATCTTGTTCCTTGTCTTGATTTGTCTTTACCAGTTGTAGATGACTCTATCCCGGAGGAGCTACCCCTTGCCTCCATCCCTGAGGAACGTCCTTTTCTCACCTATCAGCGTCGTCAGCCTGCGCCTCCAGCAGATTTGACTCTTACTGACTCACCGCCTGCTCCAGTCGACTCTTCCCCTCTGGATCCTCCATCAGAGATTACTCTCATTGCCCTTCGCAAAGGTATTCGATCCACTCGCAACCCTCATCCACTTTATAGTTTCTTGAGTTATGATAGACTTTCTTCACCACATTTTATTTTTGTTTTTAGTCTTTCGTCTGTTTCTATTCCTAAAACCACAGGTGAAGCACTATCTCATCCGGGTTGGCGTCAGGCAATGATTGATGAAATGCAAGCACTTCACTCCAATGGCACCTGGGATCTTGTTCATGCTCCTCCCGGAAAGTCAGTGGTCGGCTGTCGATGGGTATTCACTGTCAAAATTGGTCCTGATGGCACTGTTGATCGCCTCAAAGCTCGTTTGGTGGCCAAAGGTTACACTCAGATATTTGGTCTTGACTATGGGGATACTTTTTCTCCTGTTGCCAAGATGGCATCTATCCGACTATTTCTTGCCCTTGCTGTTGTTCGTCACTGGCCACTCCTTCAACTTGACATCAAAAATGCCTTTCTTCATGGTGATTTGCAAGAAGAAGTTTACATGGAGCAACCACCTGGTTTTGTTGCTCAGAGGGAGTCTGGAAAAGTGTGTCGTCTTCAAAAATCCTTATATGGTCTCAAGCAGTCTCCTCGAGCATGGTTCAGTCGCTTCAGTTCTGCTGTTCAGGCGTTTGGCTTAATCCGCAATAAAGTTGATCTTTCTGTATTTTATAGGATTACATCTCCTGACAAGTGCATCTATCTGTTAGTCTATGTTGATGACATCATTCTCACCGGAAGTGATCAAGACAGAATTCGTCAGTTAAAACAGGATTTATTCAGTGCATTTCAAACAAAGGACCTTGGGAAGCTGCGTTACTTCTTGGGAATTGAGGTGGCGCAATCTAGATAGGGCATTTCTATTTGTCAAAGGAAGTATGCCTTGGATATCCTCGAAGAAACTGGTATGTTGGGGAGTAAACCAGTTGATACACCCATGGATCCTAATGTCAAGTTATTGCCCTGACAGGGGGAGCCGTTATCTGATCCTGGACGTTATCGGAGGCTAATTGGGAAGTTCAATTATCTTACTGTGACTAGGCCAGATATTTCTTTCGCTGTTAGTACGGCTAGTCAGTTCCTTGATTCCCCTTGTGATTCACATTGGGATGCTGCTGTGAGGATCCTCCGATACATCAAAGGAGCACCAGGAAAAGGGTTGTTGTATTCAGATCAGGGAAACACAGAAATTTGTGGTTATTCAGATGCTGATTGGGCAAAATCACCCTCGGACAGGCGCTCTACTTCTGGCTATTGTGTCTTCTTTGGAGGAAACTTAATTTCGTGGAAGAGCAAGAAATAACTTGTAGTTGCTCGGTCTAGTGCAGAAGTTGAGTATCGTGCAATGGCAAATACTACCTGTGAGTTAATCTGGTTAAAGCAGTTGATTCAGGAACTTCATCTTTGTGAACAGAAACAACCAATGACACTCATCTGTGATAATCAAGCTGCGCTACATATATCCTCTAATCCTGTCTTTCATG